TTTTAAAATAATTTCTCTAGAATTACAGTTTTGTGCTAACATTGATTCATGCATGTTTACTTGTCTACTTGAGTTTGCTTAGTTGTAAATGTGTATGTGTAACACACAGGGTTTGTGTGTGAGATGCTTCTTCTGCAGGCAGTATTAGCAATAAAATAGTTGGGATCTGTGAGAAAATGCAGTTGTACTATAGGAAATAAATATTTGGTGTTCTCTTCTGTGAGGGAAATTTATTGTGGAAAGGGGAAGTTTATTCTAATAGGTTTGTCAAAAAAGATTTAAAAAATCTAAATTTGTTAGTAATCACAAACACTGATATTATTTTTTAATCAAAATGAGTTTCTAAATGAAATATATGTTTTTAGTATTTATATTTATATTAGAAAATACTACAGTTTTTTTTTAAACTACTATGTTCTACTGTTTCTGGCTGTTACTCTGTGTTTATTTTTGCTTTTAGAGATTGGTAAAATTTGAAACAGATAGTGCCTCAAGACATTGTAGGACAAATTAGAGTATGAGATCACTTTTGTAATGATTTAAGTTTAAAAGATCAGTAGTTATGGATCCAAAAGGGAATTTGTTTCCTTCACCTTAAGGTATTTTCATTCTCACAACCATATTGGAGTTAGACATTGAACTTAAACACTTTGTGATGTTTTTATAGTTATTGAGAATTTTTTCCCAAATAAATTCCCAAACCACCCTCCTTGCCATATCTCAAAACTAAAGATGCAGTAGGTGTTCTTGCAGGCCTCTATTTGAATCTGTCATGACTTACTGTTAGGATATTACTAACATGTAACTGGTCTATAAAATGCAGATACCTTATGTCTCTCTAGTAATCCATATACTTTGGTTTGTATGTAGACCTGGTCTTTTAATGTCACTTGCCTAACTAAGCTCTATAAAATTCACAAGCCATTACTTTTGTTTTCTTCCTTACTCCTTCCAGATATGTCTAAATGAGGAGGCATTTAGAATTCTGTATAAAGAAGATGTGCAAATTTTATTTGTGTGTTTCTGCTTTTTTTCTACTTGTTCCTTAGCAACTAGGAGAAGATGATAAAATTATTCAGTCATTGGACTAATTAAATAGATGACAATAATTTTGGGATATGTAATTCTGGCATCAAAAGATGTACTGGATGTTTCGATGCAGTTCTTCACAAATCAGGTGATATGCTGTCTAAAATGCATGAAGAGCTACCTGAGAGAGAGGGAGGAAGGTGGTGCAGAGCTTTTCTTTGTTCCATAGAATTGCAGCCAAAGGAAAACAATTAAAATTTGAGAGACCTTCTTCCTGAGTTTGCAAGAAATCTAAAGCAATGAAAGAACGGTATGAACTACCATCAATTTCATAAATTTCAAGCTCCAATATAACTAATGACAATCAAATCATATTATTCAACTCTATTGTTATTTAGCAATTGATATAAGAACAGAAAAGAATGTATCATAATTTGATAGTTTACATCATCTGTCCCTGAAGTGTTTTCCTGAGAGGATAGGCACTCAGCTTCCAGAATTTGCTCGCTGAAGGTTTTGGAAGGAATGAAATTAATTCCTTTATATGACACTGAATTTCAGTGAATTAATTTGGCTCAAGACAAGTGATAACAATCAGGATGCATTAAAAGGGTGCATTTGTATTCGTTCATTTAAACAGCAGTGGTGGCCATGTTCAAACTGCCTGCTGTGAGGGCAGTAACCATTGTGACACCCAGCTAGTGAAGGCCAACTTGTGTGCCTGCAGGCACCAGGAACCTACCAATGTTGGATTGTCCAAGAAAGGCTCCTGCTTCTCTCCATCAGAGCATTTAGGTGCTTTCTTGGTAGCTGCCTTCACCTTCAAAGAGGGGAACTGCCCAAAACCAGGAAGGAATAAAGCAATTGTGTCTGACACGTAATGAAATTCAGAGCTGTGTAGCAGCTGCACAACTCCTTGATCAACCAGAGTCTCACCAGTGAACCCATCTCTGAGGGTAGGCAGGTGATTGTGGGATCTCAGCACCTCAGGACTGAGGTGCCGAGTCACCGAGACCACCCTTGGGGGGCTCGGGAGTCCTGGAATGTTGCCAGAAGTGT